CAAGGAATGTCATAAGGGATGCCAAAGACAAGAATATGTCACAACAGCACGCTTAGCATTTAGTCCAGGATTCAGCACATAGAAAGTAGCTTTAAAATATCCAATGAATGAAAGACAAATACAGAAATGCCTTACTTCACTCAGTAGAAATGTTCTAAGAAATTAAGTGTACATTAAAGTACTTAGGAATTTTTTATATTCATAATCCTCTGTTAAACAAGCTGGGTGGGAATGCTACTTAAATAAACTCCACGGAACGTTATTTTATAAAGCAAAGAATTCTATTAGACTTCAAAAACAGTCACCTCCAAATCAGCTGTTATTATAAGTTTAGGTTTCTATCCACATAGTTAGAATTCATACACCATTGTAATTAAATGAATTGAAGACATTCTTTCATACCACCTTTTTTTTTTTTTTTTTTTTTTTTTTTTGGTTACACGTATTTCTAAATATACAACTATATTCAGATGTTTGGAGTAAAATAAAATCTAAAACCAAGTTCCAAAATATTTCCAAATAAAGTTTCCCATCTTTAAAATGGGGAATTGGGGGCCAGTGCTGTGGCATAGCAGGGAAATCTGCCCCCCTGAAGTGCCAGCATCCCATATGGGCACCCACTTGAGTCCCTGCTGCTCCGCTTCTGATCCAGCTCTCTGCTGTGGCCCGGGAGGGCAGTGGAGGATGGCCCAAGTGCTTGGGCACCTGCACCCACGTGAGAGACCTGGAGGAAGCTCCTGGCTCCAGATCAGACCAGATCAGCCCGACTTGGCCATTGTGGCCATCTGGGGAGTGAACCAGCAGATGGAAGACCTCCCTCCCTCCCTCCCTCCCTCCCTCTCTCTCTCTCTGCCTCTCTGTAACTCTGGCTTTCAAATAAATAAACTTTTTTTTAAAAAAAGCTGCTGGGAAAATAGAATGCAAAGATTAAAAACAAAATGGAAAACTGGGACTAGCATAGACTATAATGTCATCTCCCACGGAGTAAACAATTGAACAATGAATAGTTAAAGTTATACGCTGGTATTTTAATGAGAATGAAACATTGTGCTCAAGTCTTTGCATTAAAATAAACATCAAACACCTCTCAGGCATTTTTTTTTTATCACATGTGGGAAATTCTCTCTCAACTTTAAGAAGTTTTGTAATCTTATTAAAGGAAATATAAACTCTGACCCCTCAGTTATGCTTAGAAAAAGTAATTCCATATGTTTATTAAATTAGAAAGGGTTATTATGTCAGAAGCCAAACATGCAGAAAAGAAAGTAAAGCCATTTCCAGATCACTCCTTTTCCCTTCAGACTAATCTTTGACCATGAGAGAAAGTCCCAGACAGGCAGAGTGGGTGACCTGTGTGACTAAGAACAGATCACACTGCGCATCTGCCTGTTGGAGGAAAACAGAACCAGAGTGAGGAATTACAACAACGTCCTGTTCAGCACTGTCTTGGCATCACCCTGGTACCTGCTAGTAAGCCTTCCAGATCAGATCCCCTGGGCTCTCAGGCCCAAACTCCTGCTTCTACATCTCTACCTTTGACATCTGAGGACCATCTGGCAAGAGAAAAACAATTTGACAAGTCGGGGACTTTTATCTGGATTTGCCACAAGCAGAGCTCAGTTACAGACCGACTGAGAATTCTGGACTTCTTGTGGTCTCTCGAGTTTCCCAAACTTCACTGAGTGAGGGTTCTGCAAGCTGAGTCCAAAGCATGTCTCCGGAGTGCTGCGTTCCTACCTTGCTGCCTACTAAGTGGGTTTCAGTGTAATCTTTCTCAATACGAAGCTTGTCTTTCTACAGACTGTAAGAAAGAGGCTTAACAGGAACAAAAGGAGCAACACCTTGCAAAATCAGCCTCGCCAATTCCCTGCCTCCTGAACACCTCACGCTGGCCCTGTGCCACACGTGCCACACACAGCAGACTCTATACCTCAATTGCTGCCACTAAAGGAATTATTCGTACATGTCAATCACAGGACCAAAGTAGCAGAAAACCACTGCAGGCCAGTATGTCTTCAGAGCAAAAACATGCAACGTGATATAATCTTGGGGTGGCTATTGTTCAAGGCGTGCAAAGAATGTTAGATTTGTATGTGTGTTGAGTTGGGGAGATTAGTCTATTGGCCTACAAACACATCTGAGATGTGTTCGGTTAATTCACAACCTACAGCTTACGCATGACAGAGCCACAGGTGTACCGCAAGCTTTTAACAAGCATCAGGCAGAGTCAGAGACCCCAGTTAATGCTTGCCTCTGTCAATAAACTGCTAGAAGGAAGGGTCTAGGTCTTGCATGTTTATTTTAACACCCCCATGACCTAGTACTCACTGTAACCAATTCTTGCTTTGGATAGGAGGCAATATTTCATCACTAATGTTACAATCACTGGATAAATTATGAATTTTGTAACAATTATCTTAGGTTGGGAAGACATTTATCTCCACACAGTTACAGAAAAGAACAATGGAAACAAGACCAACAGAAGTGTAATGATGAACTGGTCATTGTTTTTGACTTTTTTCATCTGGCAAATGTGTTATTGCTTCTCAATTTTGCCTCAAAATAATAAAATAGCATTTCCCTAAAAAATATGCAACAAAATGTGTTTTTCTATGATTTCTTTTTTGTTTTGTTTTGTTTTTCTATGATTTCTATTGCTACTGTTTCCCCTTGAGTTGCAACTGGTCGATTCTTTCTAACAAGAAAAAAGAGCTTTAAGACCACTGTTAGACATTTCGATAATCTTGAGTTTGATAGCTGAATTAAAACATTAAGGGGCACAAGTACTTATAACGCTTATTTAAACATGAGAGGATTTTTCATGTTCATAATGGTCACAGAAAAATAAACATAGTGTTTACTATTTCTAAAAGAAAGAGAGCAATACTTTCTAATTTATCCAGAAATATTTCATTTCATCAACATACAACTTAAAATTCCAATATCCCATATAAATTATGCCACTGTAAACAGGTTTATAAAGTCCCAAGGATGTGTCTTTTCTAAAGCAGCAGACTTGGATATTCCCAACAGAGCCTAGTTCTTCAAGGAAGTGAGGTTGGAAGGAGACCCTCATCTTCTCTGTGCTGCCCACCTTAACAACCCAGGGACTGGTCCCTGTTGGATAACAGATCCATGTAATATGCATGCCAGGAATACATCTAACATACGGCATTTATCAAACTTCATCTCACGTGTTTCTTCTATGTCTACTCCGCTTCCCTAAAGTGGGTTGAGTGCTCATCAAAGAACGCTGCTGCCCATGTCTTACTCATCTTTTTACTTCCAGTACATAATGTTGTAATAATCATAGGCCCTTGATAAATATCTGAAGAATAAAGGAGCAAGTGAATAACTAAAAGGGATTCAAGCAATGCTGGGAAGTTTTTCTTCTTTTCCGAATCTCCTTTCCAAACTGCCTTCCGAACCATTTGTGCCAGGCGTCCCGGAAAAGGCTCCTATTACTCCCTAGTGACACCTCATTTGCATATTAAAACAATACTCTCTGCTTTATTCACAAGACATGATTGTGAAATTTCCACAGTGGAATTCACCCCTGAAAGAGTGAAATTACCTGAGAATACCCAGCAGACCATGCTCCGGGGTCTGAAGGCAGCCTCAGCACCAGAGCCAACCTTCCGCAGGGAACAATCATGATGCGGGCCCTGTTCATCTCTGAAAAGTCTCAGCATGTTAGAGCTACACCTAATGCAGAAAATGTTTACCATGACCAAACCACACCACTCTCTTCTTGGAAAATAGAAGCAAAGCCACAAACACTAATGGAGCAACGTGTGCGACACCTATGTCAGTCCATCTCTAAGGGAGGATTGAGAATCCATGTGTAAGTGAGCAATCCATTACCTTCTGTGAAAGATCTAATTAGGAAAACCCAAGTTAACCTCAACAGCGGAATCTCAGTGTTTTCTAGAATTCGCTGTTTGCCTTAAAGGAGGGGGTTATGTCTCAATTCCATCGCAGCCCTTGGCAGGAACACCTTTTCAGGGAATTCAAGAACAGGCAAACCTAGCTCATGGCTGAGAAAAAGTCCCCTTTGTGGCACCGGTCTGAGCACAGGGCTTTTCATGGAACATGACAGCTGTTTTCACAGAAATTACACAGAAAGCCGACAGAGAAGCCAAGCAGAGTGGGACCTAATAGACCACGTGGGTGTATATTTTGTGTGTATCACACACACATGCATATTAGATTATACTCTAATCTAATATACTAATGGCAAGGGTCAAACTGAAACTGCAAAGAGGAAGAAACCGGCTTCCTAATGAAACCCAATGTAAAATCAGCCACAGACCAAGGGAAGCACGCACGCACGTGCACACACACAAATACAAATCCTCAGAGGGCCAATGCCTGACGCACACGACGATATCAAGGGGAATTGACCACCCCCTTGAGTTTTCAAGATGACCACATTTAAGGGCCAAAAGGAGGGGTGGGAGTAACATTTCTGGAGTCTCATACCCTTTGCTGACCAGTGCTAAATCATTTTCACAATTTCACAACTGTTTTCACTAACAATGCGGATTCTCACCTTTGTCATCCTTGCTGGTGCTGTCTCGGTAATATGGAATATCCTTTAACTTCTTCAGACAGATCACCCTGACTTTCTGTCAAGATCTGGCCCTCAAGTCTCAGGCTCTTCTGGAGGGTGTTTCCTGGTATGCTCCTCGGCAGGCAGGCGAGGAAGCAGTTGAGCCAGCTGGAGATCATAGTTTCTATCATCTCAAGACCTACACAATAGGAGTTCGGTTGGCCTTGATCTGGAGGTAAACAGACCCACCCGCCTGGACCAGGCTCACACTGGTTTAGGGGCCCAAGGCTGACCTGGATTCACCTGTAGTCTGTTATAAGCTCACTGTAATATTTTAGCATGCCAAAGAGCACACCTGCCAGCTGCCATGATGGGAAACATCAGATCATATAAGGAACGAAAAGGGGCAGTAGATACATTCCAGGAAATTTCTATCTGCTTCCAGGAAAAAAAAAAAAACCCACATGAATATTCCTCCCCTTTATTAGCATGCACCGCCCCTTTCATTAAAAAGCATAGAATGTTAAATATAATTGAGACTGGGCCACTCCCCTCCCAGTAGCCCCACTCTGTGGACTATGCACCTTTGCTTTCTCAACACAGCACTTGCTGCTCATCATTTGTTACTTCCTGATGGCTCCTGAATTCCTTCCTGAAATGAAATCAGGAACCTGAGCACCAGGCAGATCTCCAGTGCTGTGATCCCACCCAGCGTCATCATTGCGGCTCCCACAATGCACCCCGCTGGCCCAGCACTTACCACTCTAGACCCTAACGGCTCGCTCCTGTGCCTCTTCCCTGCAAAACCAGCATCAAGAACTGTCTTTGCATCAGCCAATAAGCATGAGACCTGGCACTTAAAAGGAGCTCAGGAAACCTTCGTGGGAAGGAAAAAAGGAAAGATTTCTTAATTTTTTTCTAAAAGAATTTATTTATTTATTTGAAAGGCAGAGTAGAGAGAGAGAAAGAAAGAGAGAAAGAGAGAGAGAGAGATCTTACATCCGCTGGTTCACTCCCCAAATAGCCTCAATAACCAGCATGGGGCCAGGCAAAAGCCAGGAGCTTCATCCATGTCCTCTGTGCGGGTGCAGGTGCCCAAGAACTTGAGCCAACTTTCAGCTGCTTTCCCAGCCACAGCACCAGGGATCTGGATTGTAAGTGCAGCAACCAGGACCAGAACCGGAACCCACATGGAATACTGGCATTGCAGTTGGCAGCTCAGCTTGTTACACCACAACACTGGCCCTAGAATTTCTTAAACTTTTTTAAAAGTTATTTATTTGAGAGGCAGAGTTAGAGAGAGGGAGAGAAAGAGAGAAAGGTCTTCCATCTGCTGGTTCATTCCCAAAATGGTCACAAACAGCCAGGGGTGGGCCAGGCCTAAGCCAGGAGTTAGGAGCTTCTTTCAGGTCACCTACTTGGCTGTAGGGACCTGAGCACTTGGGCCATCTTCCACTGCTTTCCCAGGCCATAAGCAGAGAGCTGGATTGGAAAAGGAGCAGCAGGGACACAAACCGGGGCTTATACGGGATGCTGGTGCCGCAGGCAGAGGTTTAGCCTACTAAACCACTGTGCTGGGCCCGGGCTTTCTTCATTCTTAAATCATCCATCATCTTATCCCCAGCTGATAAGAGAGAAAACAGGTTGCAAAGCTGTTTCACATAGTTCATAAGGCACAAAGTCAAGCGTCACAGCCTGGAATAATTTGAAAGCTAGTTATTTTTCTTTTGTACCAGATTAAGAGATTGTAAACAAAACTGCAGACAGTTAACTTTTGTAAGTTACCATAAGCAGCATGAGGCCCAAGCAAAGGCCCTTTCACCAGATCTCCACTTCCCTCATCACCAGTCCTCCCAGAAATAACTGACATCTTTGGTTAATGTTTGCCGTTGATGGTCTAAGGCAACTAAATATAGATTCAATATTCAGCACAAGTTCAAAATTCCATGAAAACCAAACCAAATTATAGGGAAGGAAGCGAGTTGACTGGATTTCGTGAATACCCAGGTGCTAATTTGTATAGCCCCAGAGAGCAAGGTTCATTACTGATAGGTTCTGATGTAAAAATCAGCATGGGGGTCTTCACGTTTCAAGATAGTATAGCAAAGACATTTCTGTCTCCTCCTCCTCTCAAAAACATTCCAAACTCTAAGTAGGAGAAAACTATGTTCACTAGCATTAGGAGACATCTAGAACCTTACCTTGGATACTGGCAGGTAGAGGTGAGAGGATAGACCCGCCAGGGTACAAGGAGGGTCAAAGTCAGTGCCTCCAGGTGGCGCTGTTGGCGACAGGCAAGTCGAGTCACCTGTGAACTTCAGAAATGCTCAGACACTGGAAAAGCCAAGAAGGCGGGTGAGGAGGGCGCTGAAAATGGGGATGCATTAAGGTCTGGGTTAGAGTCCATGTGCATTTTACTGATCGCAACCTGGCCTGTCCTGGAGATAGGCAGTGTGGACTCCGGGAAACTTGACCTTGAGAAGCTCCCGGAACAAGGACAGAAAGAAGCACATTAGGAGGACGTGGGTCTAAATCCTAAACAGTGGTGCCTCCAGGTTCCCTTTCCCACTCAGCTCGGAACATCAGCAGTCCAGCTTAAACCCACTGGGCAAGGAATTGGAGGATTCTTGTGAGTGCCTTCTCTCTGAAAAGATCTATAGACACGGGCATTCGAGTCACCAACGAAAACCAGTGAGCAGCTCGATCCCATGCAGGGGGTTACACCTGGACACACGTCCACTCAGCCTGGAAAAGACCGCAAGGATCACTAAATGTTTGAGGAATGCTTACAAGAAGGAGAGAGACCAAAACAAACAAAAGGGAACTCGGATAGCTTCTAACAGAGACATTACAGGAAGCAGTAGAGAACTGTAGATAAACTGAAACAACAATTTTCTATGTAACGGGGATAGTCAGGGAACAGTTCTTGGATATTAAAAATATAAGTGCAGGGGCCAGTGCTATGGCGTAGTGGGTACGCCTGAAGTGCCGGCATCCCATATAGGCACCAGTTCGAGTCCTGGCTGCTCCACTTCCAATCTAGTTCTCTGCCATGGCTGGAAAAGCGGTAGAAGATGGCCCAAGTCCTTGGGCCCCTGCACCTACGTGGGAGGCCCAGAAGCAGCTATTGGCTCCTGGCTTCAGATCAGCTCAGCTCCGGCCATTGCAGCCATTTGGGGAGTGAACCAGTGGATGGAAGCTCTCTCTGTCTCTCTCTCCCTACCTCTCTCTCCCTCTGCCTCTGCCTCTCTGTAACTCTCTGCCTTTCAAATAAATAAATATATCTTTTTTTAAAAAGTGCAAAATATTCTTAGCCAGCCAGAAGTAAAACACTAAATGAAAGAAAGAGCGGAATAGAAAAAAAAAAATAAAAAAGATATACAACAGGGAGAGAAAAGATATGGAATTTATTTCCAGAAAGGGAAAATCCAGAGAGACTAGAGAACAGGATGAAAAGTTATCAAAGAAATAATATAAGAAAACTCCCAGATTCCAAGTTGGAAAGACCCACAGAGTACCCAGCACAGTAGATAAAAAAGGCCTCCACCAAGATATATTAGCATGTCTTTGCCAGGATACCAACAATAGAGGATCTTAAAAGCTTCCAGAGAAGAAAAAAATTAAAGGCAAAGGACTGGGAAACAGGATGCAGTCAGATTCATACCAACATTAGAGGAAATTTTAGGCCTGAAAATATCGAATAAACTTTTTTAAGAACCTTACATCTTGGCAAACCTTTAATCAAGTGCAAGAAAATAAATATGAGACACAAATTCTTTTTTGACTAAGATGTAGCAGATACCCCTCACCAAAAAGAGACTAAACCTAAAAGAGAGGGAAAACTGGGATCCCGAAAATGAGGTACAATAGACAGGAGCAGGGAAGAATTCCCAGGGTGTCAGCCAGCCACGGGCCCAGAAGTGACAGTCCCTTTTAGAGCAGGAAATAGAATAACTTATTAACTGCAGAAAAAGCAAAGAGTTACTTAAATAAAAGCCACAGGAAAAAGAATCAAAATGCATTACTTGGCTTAGCTGATGTGTGTGTCTCCATGTATCATTGCATATTGATTTAACCCAAAATTCTGATATTGTTACACATATACCAGGTACTGTAGGTCACGATGTGAGTGCTGGTCACCACAGTGTGCAGTAAGGTGACTGGGAGGAGACAGTGTGTGGTATGTGTGGAACAGCTTTCAGGAGCCTTTGGATACACTTGCTCTAACAAGGCTTACTCAAACATTCTTTGCATAAATTGACAAGTAAATCAATGAGTTCTGGAGTTAAGTCAACCGTACATATTCCTCCTTTCAGCCAACCAGAATGGTGTCATTAAGTATACAAACATCAGGCATGCTGCATATAGGATGATTTGTAGAAACTGTTCCCCTACAATCCTCAAATCCTGAAGTTTATTTCAATTTGTTATGCTTTTTTTGTTATACATTTTTTGGCATGTTATCGGGTTTCTTGAGCCTAAAAATACTGACAGCTGTGCTTTAAGTGTCTATTTTGATCCTTCGCTTTACAAACATCCACAGGGTACTTTAAAATGTTCGTAGAAAATGGAATTGACTACAAGTTTATTTGTTACAAAAGTTTTTGAAATCCATGCATAATCATGTTCTTCAACCTTGTTCTTCATCTTCAAAATAAGAAATGATGACACACAGAAATCATTTTTTTAAAAATCGGACATCATGGTACAATTTGGGACATGCTCAATCTGACTTGCCCCAAATGGTAGAGTTAGAAACGTGCCAGGGGATTCCAATTCAATTCCATCAAGGTGGCATGTACCAATGCCATCTCACTAGTCCAAGTGATCAGTTTCAGTTCACAATTGACCATAATGATAGGACTAAGAGTCAAAGGGATCACATAAACAAGACTAGTGTCTGCAAATACTAACTGATAGAATTAAAAAGGAGAGAACGATCCAACATGGGAAGTGGGATACACAGCAGACTCATAGAATGGCAGATGTCCTAAATAGCACTCTGGCCTCAGAATCAGCCCTTAAGGCATTAGGATCTGGCTGAAGAGCCTATGAGAGCATTTTAGGCATGGAAAGCCAAGACACTGTGGCAAAAAAAAAAAAAAAAAAAAAAAAAAAAAAAAAAAAAAAAAAACCACCTAAATGAAAGATCTCTGCGAGTGAGATCCCAGTGGAAAGAACAGGCCATCAAAGAAGGAGGTACCTTTCTCTGAAGGGAGGAGAGAACTTCCACTTTGACTACGACCTTGTCTAAATATGATCAGAGTTGGTGAACTCAAAAGGCTTCCATAGCCTTGGCAACTCATGACAAGAGCCTAGGGTGATTACTGATGCCATAAACAAGAGTGTCAATTTGTTAAGTCAACAACAGGAGTCACTGTGCACTTACTCCTCATGTAGGATCTCTGTCCTTAATGTGTTGTACAACATAAATTAATGCTATAACTAGTACTCAAAGAGTACTTTACACTTTGTGTTTCTGTGTGGGTGCAAACTGTTGAAATCTTAATATATACTAAATTTATCTTCTGTATATAAAGAGAATTGAAAATGAATCTTGATGTGAATGGAATGGGAGAGGGAGCGGGAGATAGGAGGGTTGCGGGTGGGAGGGAAGTTATGGGGGGAAAAAGCCACTGTAATCCAAAAGCTGTACTTTGGAAATTTATATTTATTAAATAAAAGTTAAAAAAAGGAAAAAAAAATCAGACATCAAGGGTGCACATTTGGTGCCACAGTAAAGCCAACACTTAGAATGCACACATCCCATGATGGAGCACCTGGTTCAAACACCAGCTCTGCCTGCAGTTCCGGCCTCCTCCCTGGGAGGCAGCAGGTGACGGTCCAAGGACTCTGATCTCTGCCACCCCCATGGCC